CTCTCCAAGTATCACAATCCCTGCCCTGTCGTCTCATTGTGTTCAACGTATCACAATCAACTAGTTTCTGTTCTCTTTTATTTGATTGTTTTCTAATCCACAAAGGAAAGATTTGAAGATCCAATAAAAAGGAAATCATCCAGAGTCTGACTGTAAGTTTGTACCTTGATGACCTTTGTATCTTTGTCCTTTCACCGTGTCGAAATTGTTTGTTTATGTTTTGCGTTTGTACTATTGGTTTATGTATTGTTTTTGGGTTAATACTAATCTGTATCGGCCTCTAAAAATATAGTATTGGTTGGGTTATAGTCCAGATTAGGGTTGGAACGGTATGACACTTACATGGCAGAGTCTCCACCACTGTTGTAATTTCATCTGTTTATGGAATTTGTTTTTTTTTTGGCTAATCCAGCAAAGTTAATACCTGACAAATATAGGTGCTTCATCACGTTGATGCAAAAATCCTATAAAAAGTCCAGTATTGTTATAAAGTTCTGCTCAATAAAAACAATGGCCAATAAGGTTCTTACAGGCACATTTATACGACGGTGTTAACAGTATGGAAAAATCTCACCCAACTCGAACTCAGGATAACCCTGCGACCAGCAGTGTTCATTACATGAACTATTTTCCGACAAACTACGCCTGCAAATAGAAGTTTATTTCGATCACGTTAGCAGCTGGAAATTCTCACTGCAGACGCCCAAAAGTTCAGACAGTGAAGAGCCGTTACTTTATGGTTCGGTTGATGAGGTGAGGAGGAAGCTTCAAAATAAACTATTCCAGCTGATTGTTCACTACCTCTGGATCACAGGTGGATACAGTTATTCCCCGGTGGATCACCCTTTAAACCGGACTACCTATGGCCCCTCCATCCTGCTCGCCTCCCTCTAATCTCCCACCTCTCTTTCACCCCGGCTCTATTCATCTGCAGCTCGCTGCGGAAAAGAGGATCTGACGTTGCGTCTCCTCGAGGACCGCGCGGCCTCTTCTCGACTCACTCTGTCTGAATGGGATATAACCCGGGGGTGCAGGGGGGAGGCGGGGTGAGGAAGAACTAGGGATTTGAGCTGGATGAAGATTTACCTCCACCTCACATAAAAACCTGACAGCTGCCTGCAGTACTCACATGCATCATGGAGTAGTAGGACGGTTTGCCGGTGTAAAACAGGAAGTGGAAGGGCCGCCCGTCCTCTCCCCACTGGACAGCTTTAAAAGAGGAGACGGAGAAGCAGTTTACACAAAACTCACAATTCTGGAAACATTCACAATAAAGTAATAAAAAAACATACCGCTCTGCTTTGGAAATATGTCGTCTGGATGCTGGAAATGAAAACAAAAGTCAAATAAAACATTAATGATCGAGGAATTCACATTTTATTACACTGCCAGCATGGAAATTAAAGCCATCATGCCCCAATGAGCAGTAAATGAGTGCAGAGTGACTCATCCAGAGAGGGTCATTTCAGGTCAGCAGGTTCCAGCTAATGCACTAGCTGGAAGTTACTCACACCAGCAGCAAATATTGGCTCAGATATTCCTGATATTTATGCAGTTTGTGATCTGTTTAATACCCAGCATTCATGTATTTATGTCAACAATGAATAATCTAATCGGAATAAACCTGCCTCCTCTTTGAATTACAAATTTCAGCTGTCCAAATGAATGATTCTGAGCAAGCCGTCACTAAAATAAACAAAAATTTAACATTATGTTTAACAAATAAAGTCGGTGTCATATAATGCATTATCAACACATAACACAGTAAGTGTGTAAGTGACTTCACAGAGGGACTTTTACAGGCACAAAAAGGTCAAAGTAGTTTGTATTCCACCAGAGAACGAGCAACAATGAGGGAAAAGTCAATAAAATAAACATAATTTGTTTTCTTCAACCATTTTGTCAGCCTTCAGTTTTATCTTTGAACTGTTGAGGGGTTTGGGGACCACTGTCGTACTGGGTGAAAATGATTTGAGTGACATTTCCTTGTCTAGTTTCATTATGAACTGAATGAAAACGACAAACTGATGGGAGGAAAACACAGCAACCAATAACATCGGTTTGATAGGAATCTATATCATAAAAACTAATCATTTACAGCCTTTAAACTTTAATGTCAGCCAGGTTTATGTGAGTCCAAACCGCACAGACGTACCTTCATGACGGGCCGGGCTTGCTTCTCAAACAGGCCGGAGGGGAAGAGGTAGGCTATGCTCCTCTGTCGGTGAGAGAAGAAAAAAATAAATATATAATAAATAAACAGGAGAAGAAATGGCAGTTTGAGAGATGGCAGATTATGACAACGCTGACATGTCCGAACAACAGAGGTCACACCCACGGACGACAGTGAAAGTGACAGAAGAAGAGGCACAAGCTGCTAGCGGGTTCAAGGAAAGGCGAGCGTGATGTGTGTGTGT